ACTCTCTGGTGATGTGGAGGTGGAGCGTGGTGACGAGGTGGGGTGTGCTAGAGCACTACTTGTGTTCATCTGGCACATACTGGGAATCCAAATTGGTGCATTTCATCCTCTCCATGACAGAATTAAAACTACACAGGCACCACCAGAAGTATTATGCTACTTGGGCTATTCGTGCATTAAGTAGAAAAATGCTAAAGCCTGTTCTTGGAAGGCTTTTAAATGTATCAGTCAATTTAAAAACACATCATCCTCATACAGATTTGGGCTATAATGATACTATATCATTCTGTGTGTAGGAAAATAACCCTTACGATGTTTCATCATGAAGTTCCTTTTGTTCTCCCTCTGACAAAGCCAAACCCATGCAGGAGAGGCAGAAGAGCTTGGGTACAGGCATCTGTGTGACACATAGCCTTTAGCCAGCAGAAAACAAGTTGGAAGCGGTGGTACCTCTGCTTCCACAGCTATCATGAAGCTACACTCAAAGCAGATCTTGGGAATCCCTAAGGGGAAAAAACTCAACACACCTCAATGCAAGAAGGTCTCTGTTTAAAATTACTGTCTAACCTTGCTGTTCTCCAAGTCTTAGAAAAGGACTTCCTCAAAGTAGAGAGGAAGAGTCAGAGCAGAAGCAGAAGAGAACCGATGGCTGGCTGGATGGCAGGGAGAGACAAAGAGAGAGGGCTGCCCGGAGGTGGGAACATCACAGAGTCGATCCAGATGAAGAAATAAACGGTGACTCTGAAACATAACATAGGGTTTATCATGTCAGGAGTGAAAGGGTATAAAGACCTAAACTGTCTACTTGTATGAGAACATAATGGTCCTTGTCGTCGACTTGGTGTAGAAAGGAATGACTTCCATCTAGAGGACGCAGAAAAAACAGGAGATAAATTTCAGTACTAGTAACAGTTTAATGGGAAAAGATTGAAAAAGAGGAGGAATATGGAAATTAGACAGGGATGACGTTCTAAGAATTTAAATGTGGCATTTGGCAGCAGCAGTATTGTTCGTGGAAAAGCAAACAATGCTAATCAACATCAGATGTATTTTTATTTTAAAAGATATTTTATTTAATGACAATAAATATGAAAAAATTAATATTCTGAAACTAACAGCAAACATTCTTAGAAAAAATACAAAAAATACATTTTTACATTCTGAATTTTATCAACATACACGAAGTCTAAAACAGTTGTAACGGTCTGTAATTTATGGTGCTTTTTAAGGCAATGAAATGGTCACTGGTCCAAATGCACTCTGACTTCAATGAGTCTGTATAAAGTAAGAGTCTGGCCTACGTATAAAGTGTAAAAAAGAGTAAAACCGATTCATAGTTTAAAACAAATATTAATTTTCCTTCAAGCAGATCTTTAAATATTGTTAAAGTGACCTAGCCTGAAAAAAAAGAGAGTTACAAATTCTCATATGCTGGCAACTGTCCCCGCAGCATTTTGTTCCGATGCCTGTGCAGAGCTCCCTGTGCACAAGCAGAGCACATTTCAGCAGTTGGAGGTAGAGGTTACAGAAATTGCACAGCTTAAGAGACACAACTATTAAAATGCAATCATTAGGCACTCTGTTGGTTTTCCTGGTCTTTCTCTCTCATTCAAAACTGTGCTGTGAATAACACTGTGCATATGGCAAATTGAACTGGATTCCTGATGTAATGTCTTCCGAAAGTAAATGCTACAGCTACATTAGCAAGGAGCGTGGCACTTCAGAAGCGAATCACCAGAGCAAGAAGTTGATGTCGACTAGCTGATGCCCACGCAGTCAGTACTCACTGCTCTCTTCAGCCTAGCTCTGGTTTTAGCTCTCTGGACTAAGTGCCTGTCAGACATCACTAAGTGCATCTCTGAAACCTGCCTTCTGGTTCAGTTTAAACCAAGAGGAATCCAGCCCGTGTGCCCTGAGACCAGTCTGTGATGGGAAGCACGCCCAGAAAGTGGGGAGGAGTGGAAGACTAGTTTCAAATCACACTCTTGATCTGAACAAAAATGGTAATGTAGAAATACACGCAAAGCTGATTAGGATTTTATTATGGGAGGAGCCCAAGTTATGGATATACACACCTTGCTGATGTAGCATGTTTTTAAAAATCATTTTAAAGGCAGGAATATAAACTCTCGATGACACTGAGGGTCAACTCCCTCTTCGGGAAATGCTGCCAACTGATGTAAAAAGAGGCAACTGAGGGAGGCCACAGGATCCAAACAAGGAGCAGAAGACCAGG